AAAAACATCGACTTATCCTAGGAAAGATTTCTTTCTATTGCAGGCTGAGTATCCCTAATCCGAAATGCCTGGGATCAATATTGTTTCGAATTTTTCCGGATTTAGAAATACACGATATGGTGGAGGTGAAGAGAACTGGAAAAAGATCTTTCAGAAAAATTATCACGGTTGTTGCAGACACCCCGCACTGACAATGTTTGGCGGTTTACTGCATGCCCATGTCACAGCCTTGTTAAGAAACGGGACTGTCATGAGAACTTTCTCCCATTCGGTAGAAGTGTGTCTATAGGGAAACGAAAATCAATGAGGAGGCCCATAACGGGTCACAGAATCCCAAGATGTAAACTGTTAGAACCATTTAACATATGTTCTCACCTAAATTCCGCATTTAAAGTACAAACGTTAAGTAACGAATCTGTATCATTTGAATAAAAATATTTATGGCCAAAAACGATGAGTTATTATTCCACAGGGCTGCCTGCTGTAAATGTGAAGTTATGGATGTTCCAGAGAGCGGCGTAGCAGCTCCTTACAAATCACAAGAAGAAAAAACTCACGAAGTTATTCCACAAATTGGAACTACTCTGATTTCGTTGCAGTGCAACATTATCAGGTACAGAGACATTTTCATGCGGCTCATATAGGTTGGAAGGAAAGGGGAAGGAAGAGGAGTGGAAGTTGGGAGTTAATGGGTTGTTTCAATGAAAAGCATGAAAATGGGGTGTGTTTGACGTTTTCTCCCTTTTGATGCTGCAGACAAAATGGGTAATGATCAAGTCTGTTCACGAATGAGACGTAGAGAACTTGCGATAACGTTTGACCATTGGCCTTCGTTAGGACGGAGGGAGGCTCTTTTTTTATTGGCCGGGTATCAGAGGACACGAAATGCCGATGAAAGGTTGAGAGAAAGAAGGATGGGAAGTGTACGACCGTTCTTCATATTATCCAATGATATTTCAGAAAGTTCAGGACTGATAAGCGAGTTTATGCAATGTTGCGGATTTTGGAATATTCCGGAATTTCGGATTGGGGATGCTCAATTTGTACTCATCTTTTGACACTGAATCGGCACTAATTTCAGAAAGTATCTCATTCATGGTCCTTGTTATCTCACCAGTATCTACTTTCTGACAGATGTGGCCATTCAGCGAATCTCGATGACGAATTTGTCAGTCCAGGATCATTGTCACTGATTGAACTGTCGTAGCCATTGCGGTTATTTGACTCTAACAGTATTCTCGATTTAACGGCATGATAACGAGGTTTGTTCCTACCAACTGATTGCTCTTTCACAGTTACCGGTCATTCATCTTTTTCTCGTTCCTGTGGTAAATATGTGTAGCACTTCATGTATCTTAAATGTCTGAACTGAACTCACTCATTCCAGCGTTTACGTACAATATTTATTCGGTTATTTCTGCTTCCTCGTTCACTGTTCATGTGAACAGGTCGCCATCGCGATAGTCTGTTGTTTTGTAGTCGTCGTATCTGACGACTTTCCGGCGAATCGTGTCTCTGATATTATACTAGATTGGATTACTATCGTTGACAGCTTCACCATTACATTCATCACTGTAAAGACTTCTGCCAAACCATTCTCCGGGGTATGATGTGAAGGAGGGACGTTCCACTAATGATTTTAGTCTTAGCCTGTACTTGAAGTTTTCTCTTTCTGTTGAGGTTAATAGCTTTTTAATTTCTTCCAGCCTTGTTTCCGTGACATCTCTATCTCTCACATTGGCCAGATTTTGCCACTGGTTTCTTAATGGGCAAAATTTTGTCTCGCTCTCAAACTTATAATCGCATGAGCGCGATAGTTGAAGTTTGATTGCCTATTATTTTCATCCTCCACAGCCGGCTATATACACTTGTTAGAAGTCTCTGTGTGTTCGAACCACGGCTGTTGTGCAGGTGTGAATATTTTTTTCATGTACGTTTATTTTTTTTTCGACAGAGCATGCAAAGTTGATCTACTAGATGAAAGACTGTTAAGAAGATATCTGCTCTTACCTCACAGGTCTTATTCAGAGTAAATTGAATCGCCTCTGGTTAGTGTTGTTGTGTGCAACCACTGGTTCATTTCGAGGCGTGAAGCAGTCTCTCGTTTCTTACTAAAGGCAGAAAATCTAAATTGACCGTGGATTAACCATGACTCATTCTCTTGCAGGTGGGTTGGTGTGCAATGACTTGATGGAAAGCCGAATAAATCGCCTTCGGCGAACGATGAACTTTTACATTCCGGCGGACGCTGCCATTCGTAACACTGTGGTGCTGACTCGAAAGGACGCAACGTCTAACGAATGGGACGAACACGATAGCTACGACAAAGTACTCGTTTACGAGTTACTGACGAAGACAGCTACCACTGGGAGATGTTAATTCTAGGTTCTAGTCGACGTTCCATGTACGACTGACCGTCTCAGTTCTCAGGATGCATCAGCTGAACTTTTCAAAAGGAATCGCACGAAGGATAGACTGCAGTTGCCAGAAAGGCAAATGAAAATTTTGTAGTAAGTGTTTTACAGTATCTGCTGGGTTTTTCCAAAATAGTATGCCACGAAATGGTACTACTACGACTGTCTGTTGTGAAAGTCTTTGAAGTTGACTTGGATAATTCTTCGCTTGATCCTGTCGTTTAACAATAAGTATGTGTTGAACGAGGGGTTGGGTGTTCGACTCTGATCGTCTTCATGTGGTACCTCCTGGATTCATATTGTGATGTTAATATCTAATCATGATGCCAAAAATCAGATATCAGCAAATATTTAGGATAGACGGCCCGACACCAGCTTCTCAGTGCATACCACACGCGCAAACATTGTCAGTGCAAGCCGACCATCGTCCTAACTCAAAGGCCCTTTTCAGAGCCCCGCAGAATTTGCTTGATTACGGAAGAAGCTAAATATTGTCATCTTGAATTGTCAGTCCTTGAAAGGTGAAGATAGGAACTGCCGTCACCAGGACCTTGAACAGTCTAAGCGCACCGATCACATGTTTCCGGGAAGCGCGATTAAAGAAAGATAAAATCACAAAAATGTGCTATCATGATGTCCAGGCATCTTTTGTATTATTAGGATCGAAGGCCGAAAAGATATATTTAGTTGCGGATTCGCAGTGCGTTCAGGCTACAAGAAATTGCAGAAGAATGGGGCCAATTGGATCTAGATTATGCTGGATAAAGATATCGAAATCGTTCAAAACAACATGGATTACAACCGCCCACGCGCCTAAGAATAATACAGATGAACAAGGAAAGAACACTTTATACGATAGGCTTGAACAATTACTTGGTGCTGTATCTTCGAACGACCTTATAGTCCTTTGAATGGATGTTAACGCACAGTTTAGCTGCGATGAAACGAGTGTCACACTAGGGCAGTGGTTCCTGCCATCAAAAACGACTACAGAAAATGAATCGAAAGATTCAGCCTGGCAATTACGACGACAGTGAAGCGAAATCAATGCCCGCAAAGACCAGCGTTTGACTTCTGAAGAGCAGAAAGAGAGTGGGTGGTGGGCGTTAATGCTACAGTTGGATTACATACTTATAAGTGACCGTTGGAAGCACATCATAGGATGGTCTTAAGATATCTGGATATGCGCCTGTCTGTCCGACCATGTCCAGGTGGTGTCTTATGTTGCGGCCAAAAGGTTGGAGACGATGCCAAGGTTTAATATGGCGTCGTTACAAGAAAATCCAGATGTCAGGATTATACTCTCAATGGCGTTCACTCAGCGACTGGAAAGGCATTTGCCTATAACATATGGTGATTTCAGCAGCTGCCGCTAGTAAAAGTTACTGAAAGTATCTCAGTACTCCAAAGAGAACGTACCTGTCAGTCTGTAAGAGCTGTTGAAGGAATGGAAAAGAGCAAGACTTGCAGGAAATAAGGCATTAACGAAAAAGATGGAAGCCGAACTGAAATGTCATCTGACTGGCGAAAGGAGCATACTTCGGGTTAAACGAACTGTTGTTATGGAAAAAGCGTTCAAATACAACAACATTAGACGAGCGTTTGTTTTAATACGGTGATATGGCGGAAGAAATAATACTAGCCCGTCTTTCGTTAGTTCGAAAGATGGATCGTGCATGCACAAAGAACTTAAACGTGCTGGGCGATTTTGGGAACATTTCTAGCAACCTATGAGCGGGCCCCGCCAGCTACTTCAGTGCTTTGCTTTCAGTGAAGTATGACATCAGATTATGACTGCAGCGTTTATGTACCAATCAGCGAAGAGATTATGAATGCTCTAAAATGGGCAAAATCGTAATGCAGCTGGACCAGATGAAGCTTACATGGAGCTGTTGCCTAATATGGGATTGCAGGTGTTTTCGAACATCATTCATGAGATTTATCGAACAGAGAATACCGGAGGAATGGCGCCACGTCGTGATTATTCTAATACCCAAAAAAGATGCTGTATCGGATGTCCGAAATTACTGAGTTATCGGTCTCCTCTGCAAGGCACCGAAGGTCACTGAAAAAATTATCGTCATCAGAATTCGACCCTACAGAGAGAATATTACCAGAATAGAACTTTGTTCCGTAACTTTCATCCGGGCTGATCATGCACAAACCGCTGTTCATTGTGTTCGTCGACTTTCAGGCAGCTTTCAATTCTCCAGACCGCGAAGCCCTGTACGAGTTGCTAAGAATTGACGGACAAAGTTAACTTCTTGAAAAACATATATACCAGAACAAATGCGGTAAAACTAACACGTTCAGCGATCTCAGACAGTTTTCCAGTTAATAGTGCAGTACGACTAGTATCTGTCACCGGACCTCTGTTATTCAGCTATTGCATTGATGCCGTGATGAGAGATGCAGTTACATACTTTGATGGTAAAGTGGTATTCCAACCATCAGGACACCGGTTACAAGATGTTGATTATGCTGACGATGTGGTCATTGCAGTGAACTCGGTAGAACTTCAGAAGGCGTTGACGGCAGTAGAAACAGCCAGCATCAAGCGCAGACTAAGACTGGAACCACCGAAATGCAAAGTCCGTTTTTCACGGCATGCCCCAGAAAATGTCAGCATCATGAAAATTTACAGGGAAGATGTGCAGTACGTCACCAAGTTCTGCTATTTTCGATCGATGATCACTATGAATGGAAGCTGTGAATCTGATGTCCAGGAAAAAATAATTAAAGGCTCGAAAGGCGTGTATAGTGCTGCAGCAAAATCTGTTGAAAACTGCTGCAGTACTTCGGTGAAAGTCCTCATATATCTGACAGCTATTCGACCAATACTGATGTTTGCCGCAGCTACGTTGATTCTTGCCAAGGAAGTGAATGCACTGGTGTATATGAACGCTCGTGTTGGCACAGAATACTCAACTATAGATTGACTGATAAGATCTCGAATATACAATTACTGGACAATTACTCGAATATACAATTACGTTGAAACGAGTACAGATTGAGTTCGCCGGGCAGGGAATAATATCAACTCTCCTGCTGGTGAATATACGAATCTTAAACTTTTGCTTCTCGGCCACGCACTGCAACAGGACAACAGGTGGCTGATTAACATCTTGATTCGTAGTTGGCCGAACCCATCCTGGGAAAGACCGCGAGACCGACTTCCCCGTGGCTGGATAGCGTCAGAGACGAACTGTCAGATGCGCAGATGCGCCGCATCTATCGGCAAACTTCGAGCCAAACATAGCAGAGGGATTGACTTGCTTTCATATCTGACATTGCCCATTACAGAATACACTGGCGAATAATGGCAAAAAGCGTGCGGATGCCATAGTCCCCTTGCAACATCCAGTAAATCATGTGTTGAATGATTCCTACAAAATGGAAAAGTGATTTTTATTCTACGGATATTAGTGCATTAGCTTCCGATCATAAGGCAGTTATGATTGCGAAGTGCGTTGTATGTGGTCGGTTGTACAGTTTATAGATGCTTGACTTGTTAAGCCATTTATTTGCATTCTAGTGCTGGACTTAGATCTGTCCGCCCCGGCGGCAGCGTCGTATATTCAACTTGCACCCTTTCGCCTATTCAGAATGACGGCGTTGTTGAAGCTACGTTGAACCTGGTCGCAAAGCTCGGGCAGATGAAGGTAGTGGTCAAAGATTTGTCAGAATTGAGAAACGATTTCATTAGAGCAGAGGTGTTTTATTTTGATCGCAGTTGTAAATATGGACAACTCATTTTGCCGAATTTGACGAATAACTTTGGCCCTACATACGTATGCAAGCTCGAGCGAATTAAATAGTTTTATCTTCTGCTTTTTGTACTTATTTATCTTCCATCACTCGTTCTTTGCTGCTGATAGATAGTTATGATATCTGCCGCATCATGCCATTATTGATCATCATTTAATATTAATATAACAAATGAAGTTCCGATTT